TGTTGCTCGAGGGAGTTTTAAAACAATGCTCGGGACGTCAGATTGACAAAATGAGGTTTAACGTTTTGATCTTGCAATAGGCAATTTAATTGGTTATGCGTTTACAAAGATTTTTTATACACACAGACACACACACACACACACACACATATAGTGTTACAATAGCTTTTGGAAATCAGATTGGTGAGCTTTAGTGAACCGGTGAAATAAAGTATGGCAGCTTCAACAGAATGCTGTTGTCATGATTTTTTTAAAAAAAATCAAATTTGATTTTTATGTCAAGAAGTTTTAAGATTTCAAGACAACATACAAAGTATTCCCTCCAATTTTATCCCCTCAACAATTCTGAGAGCACTGTAGGATGGGCTGTGAGATAATAGCAGCCAAAAGAGAGCTAGGCTGAAGATGAACTTGAATCTAAGTCTTCCTGTCTTAGCCTAACATAACCATTGACTTTATAGTGAATAAGCCTACAAAATGTTTTGGTATTGTTTTGTTATTGCTTAGACACAACTGCTCATTAACAATAACACATGTTCTGTTTTTATATGCAGAATGAAGAACTTGGACAAAGACAAGTTTAATAGTTTCATATTTGAGAGATGCGAAAATGCCAGCAGGTGCAAACTTTAATGTTTTTATATATTTCACACAACCTATAACAATATTTTTTTTAAAAAAATCCAAAACAAAACTATTTACTTTTAAGTTTTATTTCTTTAAAGAATATTATTTCTGGTGCAGACTTTTCTGGCTTCCTTAGTAAACATTGTAGATATTAGCAAATAATTTCCTATTGAAGAAATTTTTCAATGTGTAATTCTCACGCTGTTCTTACAAAATTGCTATTTGGTTATTTCACATATTTATGTTATTGCTGTAATTATTGTTTTTTATATTTCTATATTTTACTGATATTGTGAACTTCTCTGGAATTTTATAGAGATAAGGTGTGAGCAAAGCACACATGTCCAACCCATGGCCTATGGGCCGCATGCAGCCCTGGAAGCTAGTAATGCGGCCCCACAAGATTGTATGTGATTTTTTATACATTAATTATATTATATATTTTATATGTGGCTCAAGACAATTCCTCTTCTCTGAATGCAGCCCAGGCTAGCCAAAAGGTTGGACACCCAATGATGTAAAGGCGTTAATTAAATGGTGGCTTGTAAGAGATATGTGACATATATTCATATACTCTAAAACCATCTATTAATTATCTGTTCCTTTTTGCAATAAGGCCTGGTATATTTCTTTGTTTTTTACAATTCTATGCATGGAATTGTTCATTCTAAGTTTCTTTTATATATTATTTGGAAATGTGGTAGTCTATCTTATCTAATAAACCAAGTTATCAAATTGTTTTTTTAAATTTCCCAGTTGAGAGCGAAGCCAAGGCAAAAACTAAGGTTCGTTTTGAAGAAATATTCAGGAATCATGCTGGTCTAATTGAGAAAAAGAAAATTAAAAAGAAACAGTTAAACTTCCCAGAGAATATTGTGGTGAGTTGAATATATTTATGAATACATGTTGTTTGCTTCCAAAAAGTAAAGTATAGTATTTCCAAATACACCTTCATAAATAGTGTCAGGGAGTTTTGATTATCCTTTGCAGGGTCAATACATTTTGAAGGACATGGAATTGGTGAAGCTTTATAATTTCATATCCTCACTCTCAAATTATTTACTCCCTTTTAGAGTGAAAAAAAGTTATAACTTGAAAACACACTTTGAAATTAAAGACTTGTTTCTATAATTACCATATTTTTGGCGTTTAAGACACACCGGAGTAAAAGACACAGCAAGATTTTGAAGAGGCAAAAAATTTTTAAAAGTTTTTGTACTCTGCAGATCTCCCAAAAACAGCCCATTTATTGCAAAAATGGGCCCAGGTTTTTTTGTTTTTGAAAAAAAGGTATAAATAGCCTTTAGGAGGCTTGTAGAGTGCTCTAGGGTGGGAACGAGCAAAAAAACGGCCCATTTTTTGCAAAAACGGGCCCATTTTTTGTCAGAAAAAGGGCATGCATAGTCTTTAGGAGGCTTTTAGAGTGCTCCTGGGGGCGGGGGAGGGGGGCAAAATTGAGCAACAAATGACTAGTTTTTCACTCATTTCTGCCCTCCCCAGGCCCAGGAGCACTCTATAAGCCTCCTAAAGGCTCTGCACGGCCATTTTGGTGAAGGGGCCAGGGTTTGGGGAGGCAAAAAATGTTGTATTCAGTGTCTAAGATGCACCCAGATTTTCAGCCTCTTTTTTGAGTGAAAAAGGTGCAGCTTATACTCCAAAAAATATGGTAGTACTATTAAAGTGGGATACCGTATTTTCACCCATATAACCCGCGGGTTATATGCGTTTTTACATACACAGCACGCCCCCGCAGGGTATATAAGTGGGCAGGGTATACAGAAAATATTTTACACAGATTAACTAAAGGGAGAGCTTGGGAGTTNGAAGCCTGGGGAGGACGAAAAACGGACCTACAGCAGTCACTGGAAGTCAGAAAATGGGCTGTTTCCAGTTTCTGGAGGGCCTCTGGTGGGGCAGGGGAGGCCATTTTCGCCTTCCCCAGGCTCCAGGAAGGCAAAAAACAGACCTACCAGGCCCACTGGAAGTCAGGAAACGTGCTGCTTCTGGCTTCCAAAGGGCCTTGGGGGGTGGGGAGGGCGTTTTTGCCCTCCCCAAGCTCCAAGAAAGCTATGTGTGCATACGTGAGGGGCAGCGGCGGGGTCATGTACGCATGCTCAAGTGGACAGAACGTAAGGGATCATTTAATTACGGGTGTGCGCATGCGCACGATGGCATGCACGCACACACTTTTGGCAACCGAGGGAAAAAAGGTTCACCATCACTGACGTAGGTGACCCATAGTTAATTACCTATTTTTTAAAATATTATTATTTCTATCCAGGACAGACACCAGGAAACTATCAATTCTAGTCCCACTTTGAGAATGAAAGCCTGTTGGGTGATTTTGAGCCATTTATCTCACAGGTTGTTGTTGTGGGGAAAATGAGGAGGAAGTAGTATTAGGCAAATGCATGGTCTTGAATTATTTATAAAAATAATGAGGGCAAAATAAAAAAAAATGAAATAAAAAAACTTTGTATGTTGGTTGCACAAGGTAAAAAAAATGAGGGAAAAAGGCGGAACAGTCAAACCTAGCAGCAGAAGTGGGTTGCTGCTGGTTCGGCCAGGATTGGCTGAACCATTAGTAGCAGTGGCGGGAGGCTTCTGCCCACCCGCCTGGGGGCTTCTGCGCATGCTATAGGAGTGAGCCCGAACCGGTAGTGAAAAAATTGGCAACTCACCACTGCCTAGCAGCTTTAGTTAGTCAGCAATTGAATCCTGAGATCTGAGTTTTTCTGGGTTTTCTTATTACAACACCCATTCTAATGCTCGAAATAAGAAAAGAAACTATTATGCTAATAAAATAAAATGCAGTTATGGATAGTTTTAACTACATGTTGGAAAGTATCTAGAAATCAAAAACTATTACAGTATGCAATACTGACACTTTGTGCTTCCTTTTTAAAAAAAATACTGCACATATTGGATAGAATTATAAACCATTCTAAATAATGCATTTCTTCAACAGACTCTATGCCCATTTTAATCATAACTTTAGGATCACACCATTTAGAAATTTAGAATTCACACTAGCCAGCAAATTATCCTCTGGAAACTTGACTTTCTTCTGATTGTTGACATTTATTCTAAAACAAAATAGCTTCATTTCTGGGATGGAATTGTACCCGATGAAAATCCTTATCTAAATTGCTAAAGGATTATATTTACAATCCCTCTGCATCTCTATCTCATGTGCTGCAGGATTCAGTGGGAGGATAAATATTTGAATAAACAATGTTATTGAATATTGGAAAATTCAATTTCGTTGCTTAGGATGTAAGGATAATAAACTAAATAAAAAAGAGAAAAGCAGCAGGTAAATATTCCATGTTATTGTTGAAATGGCTTAGGGGAAAAAACAACAGCCTACAAAGTTGCCAATGTAATTAAGCATTATTTTTTATTTTTCTGTTTAAAAGGAGTAATAACAGCATTTCTAATGTAGGTTTTCCTAGAAATTTTGAAACCTTCTACCTACTTCCTGCTACTAACTGGATTAGAGGGTTAGCACAGTCATTTCTGGTGAAATTATATTAAGACTGAACATTTCCAATAAGTTACAATTCAGATTATAAGTATCTATTATTTAAGAGATGAAGATGTTCATTAAAACAGTGAGTATAGAGCTTCAATTATCTATTTCCTTTCCTTTCTTTTCCCCCAGGGAGATAACCTAAAGTGGTATAAGGTAGTAGAGCCAGTGAATACTTTGTCACCTGTACAAACAGCATCAATTAGAGGAATTAAAGCAATGCTAAAAAGTTTGTTCATTTCATTGCTTTGCTGATTTAAATCCTATTTAATCTTTTTAAAGATTTAAGGCTGATGATAGCTAGCTATAATCTCTGCCCGTTGAAGTAAACAATGCTGCAACAGCCTACCTCAGTGCCTAGAGCCGTGATGGTGAACCTATAGTAGCCGTGCTGGAAATGGCATGCAGAGCCATCTCTCCAGGCATGCAAGCCATCACCCATTGCTCTTCCGGGTTCTGACATGCTGGCCAGCAGGATATAAACCAGAGAACTGTGAGTCCTAGTCCCATTTTAGCCATGAAAGCCAGTTAGATGATTTTGGACCAGTCACTCTCTCTCAGCCCAACCAGCCTCACAGAGCTGTTGTTGTGAATTAGGATTATTTATAAAAATGAAGCTGTGATAAAAAGATATATACCATAGGAAGGTAAATAGACAGACAGACTGACTGATAGATGTGGATGGGCAAATTCTATGGTGCTTCATTCTCATTGTCTCTGCAATGTGAGATATCATGCCCAGCATAATTGAGACACTTTGGAGAGACTGGGAAGCAATGTTAGAGATTATATATAACAATCAGAAAGCAAGAAATTAGTTTATTTCATAAAAGGCACTTCAATCTAGATAGCAAACAAACTGGGAAGAAATGTTTTAAATCAATGTTTTTTAAATCTTGCAACTTTAAAGTGGTTGACGTCCACATACCTTAATACTGCCCAAGTTTGAGATATTGCAAATCATTCAAAAAGACTCTGCCTTAATGAAGTATAAATTAAGTTTATACTCTTTATAATATTTATAATGTAAGTTTATAAATGCAATTTATATTGTTTGCATTTTGCAAAATTCTGTATTTACCCCAAGCTTTATTGATACCTTATTGAACTTTGTGCAATTCTTCTTTCATCTTGAACAGCCAAGTAATGTACAGCTTAACACTAGAATGTGAAGATCTTGGAATCTAACTTCATCTTAAGCAAACCTCTCCACATGGGGGAAAGCATAGGATAGACCAACATTTCTCAACCTCAATAACTTTTAAGACGTGTAGACTTCCAACTTCCAAAATTCTGGAAGTTGGAATTCCATCTATCTTGAAAAGGCTGAGTTTGAGAAATACTGAGATAGACCCTCGATCTTTTTCACAGCATGGCATCCTGATTCATGCCAACTCATCCAACTTCTTTCCCTAACCCTGGAACAATGCTGTCATTCCTTTACAAAAGATGTGATTGTGATGTCCTCACCCCACCCCATTCTGTGTTCTCTGCAATATTTTGACGAGAAGAAGAGGTCGCAAAGAAAGCTTAAAGGGAATGGTGTGGGAGTAAACACTGCAGACTGCACTACTCAGGTGTCTCTGAGGACACAGATAAACCTCCAAGGGCTTCAACGACGCTCTAAAAAGATGCAAATGACCTGCAGTCTGCAAGGAGAATAAATCCTTCCACTATCCTGTCAGAGCTGAAGAAGCTTCATGGATGAGAAGCGAAACGTCTTCAACGAAAAAACAAGAAAGTCCAGTTGCCTCCTGAAAAAGCACCTTCGGGAGAAGCTTAGAAGGAGCAACAGACTCTTTGAGACGCAGCTGGGACTCCGCCAGGCAAACTCTCTGGTTGGGGGTCACGTGGACGCTCTGCCCCGCCTTCCCCGCATCGGGCTCCTCCTGCTTTCGTTGCGGGGTCGCTCGGTCCCTTCGCCCGCCCTCCACAGCGCCTCCGGCAGTAGGTATCCGGGTAGGGTTGCCGTTTGCGGGAGTGGGCTTCGGCCTTTGGCGGGGGCGTGTTCCTTCCTCGCCTCTTGAAGAGGTTCGAGGGGGGGCTGCGCTCAGACAGCCCGGCGCCTGCGCTGGGGTAGCCATTTCGTTTCCTTCCTTTAAAAACAAACCGAAATCAATGATCTCGGCCGCTTGGTCCGTTAGCCAGGAGAGTAAGTCAAAATCGACTCACCCATCCCGCTTTGCCCAGCTTGCAAAAGCCTGGCAGAGCGGGATCGCGGTCGGCGGGGTGGATCGGTCCAAATCTGCTTTCTTGGTTGGCTTGGTCCCCGGTGTGGTCGGATCCCGCGGAGGGTTGGATCCCGAGGCTGGAAACGGTCGCGGTTCTATAGGGCACAGAAAGCCGATGGAGCGGAGATCTCCCCGAATGTTCAACCGAGTAGATTGCAGCCTCTCTTTGTGATGATGCCGGTTGGTGGTTGTTAAGGGCTTACGCGTGCACAGCCCCAGGCGCAGAATCTTTGGACGCCAGTGTGTAATCCGAACGTGCGAAACACGTGGCCTTCCAGGTGTTAACGCAGCCCCCGCATCCGATGTCGGGTGACTTCTTGAAATTAGGAGTTTAGTAGGATCTGGAAAGATCAAGTTCCTTGGAGGGACCCCAAGCATCTCTCATCCCCTGTTGCTCGAGGGAGTTTTAAAACAATGCTCGGGACGTCAGATTGACAAAATGAGGTTTAACGTTTTGATCTTGCAATAGGCAATTTAATTGGTTATGCGTTTACAAAGATTTTTTATACACACAGACACACACACACACACACACA